AGCAAACATCAGGGAAGTTAAAATCTCCCCTAAAGATGATTGAGAACACTAGGGCAGCACAACCAGATTCACACAGAAACAGAACCAAGACAATTACACTTCTTACCACAAGTGATGTGTACTTAATTAGAATATACTTGAATACTGCTGTGCTGGTTCTGCTTTGTGGAAACACTTTCTTCACTCATACCAGTGAAAATACTATTAATCACCTCCTTCATTTGCAGCAGTATTTTCTTCATTCATGGCTACAGTTCACTTTTAGAATTAAATGCACCTAATTGATTTTAAGTAAGAAACAAATACCAAAATGGATGGTCTAAGAAAAAAAAAAGGGATGGGTACTTCATATATAGGCCCTCATAATGGTAAATAACTTTCACCAAAATCTGAACGTGGAATGTCAGTTTATTACCAAACGACATTTCCTGCTATGAAATATGAATACACACAAACGTTTTACGGTAGAAATACTTCTTTTGCTCCCATATTTTACAGGACTGTAAGAGAGTTCAAATGCCAATCTTCTGCCTAAAGTCAAGATCAACACCGTTCCCAATTTTTTGTAGCCTGCTACACTATGTATTTATATCTTAGAACAGAGCTTTTTCTGTATATTATTGTGTTGGCAACCTTTTCTTTTAAAGTAAGGATGATTATATTAGTATTAATATCGATTTTGTACTAACAGCTCCAATGTTAAGAAGAGCTATTGCAATACCCACTACTAGTTACATACTCCTCTAAAATTCACATTGCTATATATGAAATTAGTCAGCATCTTTTGTAGCATGTTTGTAGCAACAAAATACCTTACCTTAAATATCAGAGCAAGATGATTGGAGTGCTTCTCTGCATTCCAGGGAGGTTTAGCACAAGCCATTTCTATAACAACACAACCAACACTCCACACATCACAGCTTCTACCATACTGCTGACCTCTCAGAACCTGGACAGACAGACCAAAGCTCAGATTATCCACTTCAAAGTCTCTTAACTCTCTTAAAAGTAATTTAGATGCAAAAAAATTTTCATCAACCAAGTGCATTAATATTTTGTGTTGAGAGAGTGATCAGTGATCTGAATACCTTAAGATTTATAAGCTGTAGAGAGCTAGTAAATAAAATGCCTGATCAAGGGGCAAAGCAAAGCACCTTGCAACAGGTAGGTTTTGACCAAATGGTCATTTGGGCTTTAGTAACAATACTTACAATAGAAATATCTTGTAACAAACTACTTAAAACAACTTCGACAGCAAGAAAGAAATTTCATTATCGTCATGTTGGGATGATTCCTATTTAAAACGAGTACATTTAAAACACATTTAAAGCATTTACAGCAATTTTCAATTATTTGGCTGTATGAATTAGCTTAAAGAGTTCAAACAAAATTTCTGAAGTAACTTCTTAAACTGTTTTCTTACCTCTGGTGCCATAAACGCAATAGTTCCCAACAACTGTCCCTGAAATTCCCCAGCACCAGTTCCTTTTGATGCCAACCTGGCTGCAGCTCCAAAATCAGCAATTCTTAATCTATGACCTGTGCTGTCAATTAGCAAATTGGCACCTGTCAACAGCATAATAAAAATACTGCTAGTTGGCTTTCTGTTAAGGGCAAAAGGATGAACACTCTTCCTCCCTCCATTTCAAAACTATAAACAGGTTAACATTCTCCATCTCCAATATAAAGAAAATCTATACAGCAAGGACAAAGTCTAATAATGTAACTTTTCTGTTATGCCTGAACAATATTGCACACAGCTCAAGGCTATACAAGAGATTTACAAAAGCAATCAGACTTTCAAAGTAGGACAAACACAGGATTCTGGAACAATCCCTGGAGACAGAATAATGAAAGAAAACAGTGACCTAAAACCCTGGATGTTCTCATTGCCTGCAGCTCCCTGTGAAGTTTAAACTTCTTTAATCTTTAAGTAACTTTGACCTGTCTTGAAGAGAATCACAGAGCAAGTGGAAGTTTTCCTGTTTTAAGGAGAAATATTTAAGACAAATATTTGCCATCTCTGTGTTGCTACTTATCTGGATATCCCTCCAGTTCATGGACAGCTATGGTGACATTAAAGGCAAAAGTTTACTAAGACTGGTATTTCCCAATAAAGTCCACATTTTGCTCATACACAGTACAAAACTAATAACGTTCAATTAGGATGAAGGAAGAAAGATCATCACCATATTCCTATACATTAGAAACCCCACCTCCTTGTCTTGGCTTGTTCACAGACTTTACCATCATTTCAGGGTAACCATTTACATTCATTTAACTACCAATCTTTAAAGTTATATCACAGCTTGAACAAACTGAGAAAACCAACTTTTTAAAACCATTGGCACAGGTAACAAGTACCCTCAAGTATGTTATGAACATTGTGATTGACTTCAGTAATGAAAGGTTCTTAACAATGATTAGACAAACCCAACAGAAATACTCGAGATGCTATCTGAGAGAACATTAATAGGTCTCAAGCCAAATTAGATGCTGCTTTCTTAACATACCTTTTCAAAAGACATTACAAATTCTCACCTTTAACATCTCTATGGATTATCTGATTCTCATGGAGGTAAGAAAGGCCACGTAACAGTTGTTCCGTGTAATTAATAATAACTGATTCTTTGAAGGCTCCATATTTACTTAACAAATGAGCAACTGAACCCCCTAGAAGATAAAAAAACATGCATTTTATCAACAATTACATTTTGTATCAGTAGAATGCAGCACTGACCCCTAGAATTGGAGCTTGGTGTTGGTATTTCTAATTTATAACTAGATTTCTCCTCCCATCCAAAAAAAACCTAAAAAGTTTGATAAGCAAAAAGTAAAATGTTTGGTTACATAATTACTTTCTACCTGGAACTGTATGCATTAAAGATGTAAGTCTTCATGCTTGCTAATAATTTTATACTTCCTTAGAATAATTGTACTTGTTGTACAAAGTACTGTTGCTGATAAAAAACTGCACATATTTACCACCATTTTGCATTAATGTTTAAGTATAGTACACTAGCTTTCTTTGAGTTAGTCATGTGCAGCCTCCAGTAAGTGTTCCCTATGAGGATCTTAATTTATTTCTGTTACTAGCGAAGTGCCAACACACAGAAGGAAGTAGACAAGTAAGGAGAAGCAGTATCTTCCCCTGTTTTTCAAAACTGGTATATAGATACTCAAGAGTCTGGATTTCCATTATGCCCCTCAAAGTGTTCTAATATAATTTGGGTTTGAAATAGGGAAGGGAAAGACAATTCCTGACATTTCATTACCTAAATGTTATTTCAGGAAAAATTAGACTTAAAAAAAGTTAAACTCTCTTAGTTTTGAGAAAATATTTTCTGCACTATTGCAGAAATGGTATATTAAAGACTTCAGCATGTTTTTCCCAAAGCATCCTGCTTACTACCTAGTTTACTTTAAGTACTTGAATACCTTTGCATGTCACCTCACGCGATTTTTATGAAAATGCTTGGGATAAAAACAAGTGACAGGTACTCCAAACTTTCTAACAAAGTTTTTTTTTTTTAATAACTGTAAGTTACACAAGTACACTGAAAATGTGACAGTTTGATATATTTCCAACTGAAGTGCCTGTCTCACAAAGTTTCTAAATTCTTGTTTAGATTCAGGAATGTAGGAAAGAGTAGTAGAATTTTTTTTCAGGGTTTCCAACTGCTTTAACTACATGACAAATTAGATACGAAAAATTCCAAATTAAAAAAAAAAGGACGCACCAGTAGGAAAACTGCTGGGACAACTTATGTAAGTAAACCTTTATATTTTCATTGCAGTTAGTAACCAGTATAAGTTTGCAAACTGAAGTGATGCAAAATGCAGTATGAAACTACATAGCTCAAGACTCCAATGATATTTTCATTTTCTTTGGCATAGTAGTTGTTTACCTGCCATCCATTCAATAAAGAGGTTATAGTTGCTCTTCTCACATGTAGCACCCAACATTCGAATAATGTTAGGATGGTTCAAATGACTCATCATCCTTATTTCTTCTCTCAGTGCTTCAACTACCTCTTCTTGCTCAGATGATGTGTTCCTCACATATGTCACCTGTTTTGAAATATGGTATTCAGACCTTACGTAATTACCAGTCCTGTAAACTCTCCCACCCCGCTTCAGTACAGTAACAAGAATGGATGGTTTTCCATCCTTTTTCACCATCTGGAAGTAGCAAGTATTCTTTCACCTTAAGCCCCTTCAGCTGAGAATGTATACATGTGAGACAGAAATAAAAAATTAAGAGTGATCCTTCAGGGCAAAGATCAGTAAAAAAATCTCTTCAAGTAGAGAGTGGGGAAACTTGCCTCTTCACTCTCCTCTGACTAAACTAAGAATGGGTTTTTTACCAGTTGTTGAAGAAAAAGAAGAAACATAAAGCCTGAAATGGGATCCTGACAGTGTTGTAAGATTTTTATCAGTTTAACCATACTATCTGTTTCATAACTCAGCCTCTTATCCCAGAAATTCAATAGGAAAAAGAAAAGCAGATCAGAAGTCCTGTAATGGAATTGAAGCCAACCCCAGCTCTGATCCATACTAAATACAAAATAATGGTAAGCTTCAGAAAATCATTATCATCATCATCTCTGGAGGAGAAGCCTCAAGGACTACATGGACCATCCTCCTCTTTCACAATTCAAAGGAGAAATAGCTGATGACAGATATTCTTTCCCTGATCAAGTGCTTTGAAATGTCTTAATTCCATAGGTGTGAGTTCATTCTAGAATTAATAAGAAAACGTTAGGACTAAGATTCCTCCTACATTGGTATCACTGATTCAAACCTAGGGCACCTTAAGCCTGTAAGCATTACGCACATCTAGAGCCATCAAAAATTTTGAGTGAAGCATGTGCTTTTGGGCCTTTTTTCTTAACCCCACTTCTGTATCTATGAATTTAAATACTAAAAATACTTGCCTCAAAGTTGGCCGTTGGATCAGAGGAAGCAAGCATTAAACTATTTCCTCTGCTTAAACTGTTTTAGGAAAAAAATCTTTACAAGGGAAACTACTTTCAATAGCTATCTTCCAAGTAGGACATTGATTCGGAATCAAGAGATCTGGTCTCCATTCCTAGCTCTGTGAGTGATTTATGAACTTGATAAAAGTAAAAATGCATCTGAAGAACTAGGAAAGAAAATGGGTATGTAAAGAAGTACAGGGTTTTTTTTCATTTTAAGGAGAAGTAAAAAAAGAACTCTGAAAATATTATGTTAATACCATGCACATAAAGACTTTTTATTATGTATTATGTAAGAACACATGATAAGGAGCAGAAGAAACAAGGAACACAAGAAGTCTGTAAGAGCTGAGAGCTTTTATGTTTAATAATCCAAAGAAATACTGAAGAACAAACACAACATAGTCAAGAAAGTCAAGTATTTTAAGTCTTTACCTGTTTTACCGCCATTAATGTCCCTGTTCCTACATCCTGAGCTTGGTAACATGAAGAGAAAGCACCAAGACCAATTTGCTGACCTTTAAGCCACTCTGCATCTTCTCTGTAATGGTGTTTTGCCTTGGTATGTCCAGGCAGGGTTTCTGGTGTCTGCAAATTAAATTCCAAACCAATTCCATGTTTATTAGCATGCACTTAAAATGTAGACATTCTGGAAGGTTATGAAATATCCAAGCTTATATGCCTCTCTTCTACCTTACAGTTTTATACTGCACACTACACATGTTTCAGCTGAGGCTAGAACACCAGTGTATTCTGTAACCCACGTACTCCTACTGTGTGTAAGAACAGAAAGCCTCCTCTATATTACTACCTAGAAGTGAAAGACAAGATTTAAGGACACAAATACAAGCAAGCCCTTTTTTTAAAAAAAATTCCTCATGTCTAGTCAAGGTTTTAGTTAGCACCTATAGTAAACACAATCAAAATCATGTTGTTTTCTACTTATTTCTCTCATTTTATGCTTCACATGCTACCTCATGCAAAAGATCACAAATAAAATACTCCTTTTTCTATTCTTATTTCTTGCATTTTTTACTATTTGCAAACAAGTATCTTTTTTCTGATTTCTAAAGTTTCTCACATCATCCACATGTCAAGATGAGCTGACAAGACGACTTTTTCCAACTCTGCCTTTTCTTTCAGAAACTAGTTTGGTTTTGTACAATTGTTTTCCAAGTAAATCCTCATTAAGTCTTAGTACAGTTCTACTCCTGCTTAAAAACTTCGTTCTCATTTCCTGGTTTCCCCACTTTTACACTTTCTTCTTTCCCATTTTAAAGGTTGGTATATGACGTCATGTCTGTCTTCCAAATACCTTCCCTAAACTTGTCAATGATCTTGGAAGAATTCTGTTAGCGCCCTCAACTGGCAGACTGTTTATACTCCAACTCCTAGGAGAGGATATTGAGTAGCTTTGTATTTCCAAAGTTATATAAAACACAACAGCACTGCTCAATAATTTCAGTGAACCTCAACTGAGGCTTATGCTAAATTCCCGTATACTTACATCC